TCCCTCAATAAACTCGGATTTGGTACAATCGGAAGTCAATCTTGAACCACATCAGGGTCTTTATCATTACCTATGGGGGGAAACTCAAATTCGTATACCTTAAAAACTTCAGATAGTAGGTATACGGGATCCACAAAATGGTTATAGTCTTGACATGTATGCGAGCAAGCTGCTATCACATGAGAGCATGGATACTTCAGAGCTTGAAAAAACCCGCAGTCGCACGTTCTGTCCCTTAGATTTATTCTTAACAACACAACTTCAATCCCTTGAAGAGGTCGCGGTAACTCTGTGACACGAAACATTTCATGCCTTCTAGAGAAGCTTGTTACAGACATTCCATTTGATGCAGCAATTTTTTTCTGTAGATATGCAACTAATCTAGGGTGATAGACATGATCGCCTTGCATCCAGGTTTGAGCTTATCCCCCGAGTTTCGCAAAAAGCACCCCCAAACGAAAATATGTAGTCTTTACCAAAGCCGCTACAGGTAAGTGACGTGCACCCTTTAAGGTTGAATTGATTGCCTCTGCCAAGTTGATCGTCATGTGTCCATATCGATATCCACCATCATATGCGTTCGTCCATATTTCTTTATCGATGAGGCTGATGTAATCATATCCTTCCTCACTCTTCGCCCGTAACTCTTGAAACATTGATTCAAACGTTCGAGGAAGTAGTTCGTAACCTGATCAAAAAATATATAACTTACTAACTTGCTGTCTTTGCAAAATTAAAACGATCGAAAGATAACAAACTTGCTAAGTTTCACTTACCCATGCGCACAATTAATTGACGCTCATCATTCTTCTTGTACCTTCCATGGTAGTTCGCGGCAATGTGTCGAAGAAAATACCTATGTTGGACAAAGGGTGGTTGCCACATTGGACCCAAAGACTCCATTGCTGCTTTGATCCCAGCTCCGCGATCTGAAATGACACAGATGTTTTCCCTCGTGATAACATGTGCACGTAAATTTCGGAGGAAAAAAGCCCAAGAAGCTGTATCTTCTCTTTCGACAAGAGCAAAAGCAACTGGAAGAATGTTGCGATTGCCATCTTGGACAACTGCCAATAATAAAACTTGCTTGTATTTTCCATACAAGAAAGTCCCGTCGATCTGGACCACAGGCTTGCAGAATTTGACAGCATTAACGCACTGTGGGTAACTCCAAAAAACCCGGTAGAATTGGCATCGATCGTGAAGAACTCGATCATTATGGTATGCATAGGAGGTTTCGAAGTCCACAATTGTCCCAGGATTCAACGTTCGCACAAGCCTAAACCAACCTGGAAGTTCGTTGTAAGATGCATCCCATTCGCCATGAAGTTTGACAATGGCATTTTGTTTTGCCAACCAAGCTTTTTTATAGGAGACAGTATACCCATACTGCGATTGTATAGCTGAAATCAACACTGCAACAGCTATATGAGAGCTTGCTTTGACCATGGGCATGATGGCTTGGCATATCACTTCAAAGTCCAAGTTGGGATGATCTTGGTTGACCCCTCCAGCACAACATGTGTGAGGACCGTTGTATATTGTTAGTTCCCATCTGTTATTTTTCCTCTTCCTCTTCGATACGCGAACCATCCAATTGCATCCGTTTTCGCACTGGGCACAGTAGCATACATATTTTTCGGTCGTGGAGTGGTCTACTCTGGACTGAGCAGAATTACGAATATTGTAATTTTTGATAGCCATCATCGCTTCTTCTTTGCTTGAAAACTCCATGCCTAAAGATAACTCACCATTATTTATTGATGAGTAATACCCATAGTCACTGAGATGAGGCATATCCGCAAATTCTGGCCCGTACATTGCACAATAATCAGCTTCATACATGTGTGTAAGAGGGTCAGTTTGTGCCACATTTCCTGGAACTTCATCATCGGAGTTGAATTGCGGTGATTCTGGGTCAATGAATAGTCCAGTCTCAGCACCATCCACACCAAGCTCACGAAGCGGTTATTCTGGTGGAGATGATGGTTCCTCCATGCTCTCCACATTTAGGTCAAAGAACCTACTACTTGCACGTCTTCCCCTTGAACTGGAAGGCATATCGACATTGAGATCGAAAAAGCTCGCAGTCGAATGCCTCCTCCTAGAGCTTGAAGCCATCGCGTCAAATGGAAACTGCACAGATGGTTGCGTCGATGGCATCTTCATATTAAGGTCAAAGGGATTTGCAGATGAATGCCTTCCCCTTGAACTGGACGCGATGTTGCCATACGGATTGTTCGTCGACCTACCTTGGTACATATCGTAAGGAGTTGCGGATGAATGTCTCCCCATTATGGCATTAAAATCATTACACATTACTGTCGTCGGGCTGTCAACTTGATCAACTTGTTCAGTCAGCCCATAGTGGGAGCTTAATGATTGACCCCGAACAACACACACTTAAACAAAATGTGCATACATCTCAATAGCGGCGTCTGAATAATTACTTTGAGCTTCAACCATCATTTCAACATCATCATTGTTCGAAAGTTCGAACGCTGTATAAGTTAATGGCAACAATGATGTTGGAAATCTATACTGCAACGACGACACTCTTCTACTACTTCCAACATGAATCTTCCTCGAAATCTTCGTTATAAGCTCCTCAAGAGTTATGTTTCTCTTGAATGATATTTTAACACGTTCATTTGATATGAAAACAATGCCGGTTTCATCTTCTCGAATTTCACCATCATAATAAACAATAGCTGAAAGTCGCGCCATTATTTGAGTTTAAAAGTGCGGCACTATTATATCTGCAAAAAAATGAAATAAACCTGATTTAATAAATTATATATGAACGAACATATAACACAATAAAATTTTTACACATCAACGTAAATAAATTAAATAATATAATTTAATATTATTACCTGCACCGCAAAACTATTTCGACGTATGTTCCCGCTTTCCAATTTTACAAACACAAAAATTAATTGAAAATAATTAGTATAATATTTTTTTCAAATAATCATAATAAAAAATAAAAAAAATTATAACAAAATTACCTTATAACGAAAAATCGCACGAATTTCTAAATAAAATATGAGAAGATTGCCAGAATTATTAACTCGTTGACGGAATTGTTGTATTAATTTATAAGTTGAGAGGAGAGATGTGAGAAATTAACCGGCGGAGAATGGTATTTAAAGCGAGGAAAGTTATACAAAACGCGGTATCTGCCCCGCGCTATATAAAATTATGTCAGGAGTAAAGGTATGTCGCGGTACCTGCCCCGCGCTATATAAAATTATTAGGAGTAAAAGTATAGCGCGGTACCTGATCCGCGCTATACCCCTACGTGGCGTATAGCGCGCTACAGGGGCCGCGCTATACCCACGTGGTGCCAGCTTACCGTATAGCGCGGTTCAGGGGACGCGCTATACCTAACGTGGCGCTAAATCATCGTATAGCGCGGTGTAGGAGGCACGCTTTACTGCTAAGGGTGTTAGATCGGAAAATATAATCTGATCGGTGTTAGATCAATAATATTATCGGTCACCGATGATATATCGAGAAAATCGCAAACAGCAACACCACTGGTCAGCAAAATCTATGGGGGAAAAAAGAAAATCTGTCAGAGATTGAAGAGACACATAAAACATTTTTGTTATTAACTCACACTAATATAAGAGAGAGAGAGAAGAGTAAGAACACAAGTTGAAGAACAGAGAGAATGAAAGGGGTTTCAAGATCTTATAGATCAAGCTAGAAGAAACTGTAAGAGATTATATATATATCTTATAAAAGTTTATCACTTTTTTTGTGTGGTTTGATCTCTTTAGCTGATTGTTGTTGCTGCTGCTGTCTTTTTCAAGGTATTTTGCTTCATTCTCATGTCTTCTGTATTTTTTTTGAGGGGTTTAACTTTTACTTTATTAATGTGGGGTGTATTATGTGAATGTGGCCAGGAAATGAAGCTTTTTTCAGTAAATTTATCCTTTTTTTTCTCTTTATCCAGAAGTTTTTAAATTCTGGGTTTTCTTTGTTTTAGGTCCAAAAGTGCTGGATTAGTGGATTTCTTGAGCTCTTTTCAAGTTAAAGATGTAAAGTTTTCTCTTTTCCGTTTCTCTGTTTGTTTCATGGGAATGTTTGCCTGGAAATGTGGAATTTTACTAGAGCTTTCCTTCTTTCTCTTGGCTTATAAATTCCTGTTTTTGCTCATGATTGTTTCATTGACCAAAATAAATCTGCTCTATTTTTGCTAAGATTATGCCCTTTTCCCTGCATTTGGCTTCATAGATCTTGATTTTCTCTTCATTCACATGAACATGTTTTTTTAAGGATTTTTAGACTTTAATGTTTGTTGACGAAAACGGGTAAAGAAAACAAAAGAACACGAGAATTTTACGAGGTTCGGCAATGTGCTTACGTCCTCGGTGCCTAGGCGGCGCTAGAAGTTTTTATTCAATGAATATTTTAGGTCTAGGTTACATCTCTATTTATAATAGAAAACCCTGGTACATAATTACAAAATTAACCCTGTACCGTACCGCGGGGGCTGCGCCCCCGCACCCCCAACCCACATAATTCGTAACCCCACAACAAGACTTTCTTTGTAAGGACAGTTGATGTTCGCTTCGCTCACTCCATCTCCTATCCTCTTTACTGGTATATTTATGAGTCATACCTAACAATGTTCATGTTGTTGATTTTGTAAAGCTGTCCACATTAAAGAGGAGACAAGATTTGCTAGGAATTAATGTAAAAGTAAGTAATTGCCATTCAATCTCAGCTCCGATGTCGAATTTGTACTCCGGACCGTGGATGGATCTACATGAAAAGATATGTGGGTTGTATATGCACTAGGAATCATGTAGTGCTTGTCCTTCTTGGTCTGGTTTTTGTTTCGCAAACCTGAAATTCCCGGCTTCCATGATTTTTCCAGTGTCATGTTCGGTTGCTCGGTCCGGTGATGCATATAGACACGATACGGAAAGAGTTTATCCGAGCTAAACAATTTCCACCGTGATAGAATTCAAATGCTTGACTTGTTTCTAATGCAGTTTGATGGGCAAGGAACTCACTGATGTGCATATGGATGATAAGCTCAACGCTGTCGTGAAATCAAATGGTAATCCGCAAGTTTCCGGAGGCACCGAGTCAAAGGACTATGAAGTCAAGGAATGCACATCGATCATCCAGGATGGTACTGAGAATCAAGATGTGTTGGATGTTAAAAGCACAAATTTTGGAACCGACATCCCCGATGAGAAATACGAAAAGATCGGAGATTGGAAGTTCACCGACGATAAGAAATTAAGTCCCACCACATCTAAATCCAGTGGTGCCGAACATGTTCGTGTGCACAATGCCTCGAAAGCTGGTGCAAATGGCAGAGCAAGTGTTAACTCTACACCTTCACCTACTGTTATAAAGACTTCGGAGGTAATTAAAATTCTCGAGTAAGGACGAAATTTCTGATTCACCGGAAACGATATGGACGTTAATCCACTTGAACCTGTTAAGACAACTCTGATTAGCGATGTATGATACAAGAGATCTAACGTGTAGGAAAATGATATGCACTTAAAGTAGGTTGTTCTTTCATCCGTAGCACGAGCTTTCGGATCAACAACGTAGATAATTCGAATAAAATGATGTTCTAATTTATTCTAATTGTTTGGTTTAAGATCATTGACGCTAGTTATTTGTTTTATGTGTACCGCATTGATATTTTTGATCGTGCCATTTCTTTCAGCGAGGCTCGCCGCTTACTACTCCGATGACAAGGAAGCTATTTCAACCTTTTGACATGAGGAATCCCGACGAAGAAGATAATTGGTCTGTCGCTTCCACGTATCCTTTCTTTGGTCTTAAGAAGCAAAGATACGATGCCAAGTTCCTATCTGAGCTCTATACTATTTGTTTTGAACTTTCTTAGAGCAGGGTTTTGGTGGTGTAATAGGTATTTTATTGTTTTAGTCAAATTTTCCTTAGCTGTGTCTAGTACGGTTGCATCGTTTCGTACTGCTAGATCGAGGGTGACTATCGGAACTGCTCCAACTTTTAAAAATGTCGAACATGCTCAGAGACGGAAGGAGGTATATTCTTAGTTGGACGGTTGATCTTCGATATCTATATTCATACTCATTTCATTGGTTTTTCCTCCATTTCATTTTCGAGTTCTCGTCAATATATATATTCTTTCCGATCCAGTTTTACCAGAAGTTAGAGGAAAAACACCAAGCTTTGGAGGCCGAGAGAAGCCAGTGCGAGGCGAGGGCCAAGGTATGTGGCATTTTTTGATAATCTCTTCCGTAAAACTTGTGTTTGAATCAGTCTGCGCCGGGAGCTATATCGGTGACATTTATATACATTTCGATGATTAACAGAATGGGAACTCTTTGCTTTCTTGTAGGAAGAGCAAAAAGTTGCTCTTAAGCAGCTTCGGAAGAGTATGGTCGTCAAGGCAAATCCAATACCTAGTTTCTACTACAAAGGACCTCCACCGAAAGTCGAACGAAGAAGGTAACCGGTGTTGCGGAAGACGGCTATCGAATAGAGCAAAATCACAACTGATAATTTGAGAAAATAAAAATGAAGATAAAAGAGATATAAAATTTACGTGAAAAACCCCAAAATAGTATAGGGTAAAAACCACGGGCAACGGTAGAAGAATTCACTATGAGAAAATAGGAATTACAACTTCTCTTGATCTACCAAGGAGAAAATAATAATAATTCCCTCTTGATAAAAATGATAAAAAAACTCTCAAGAAACTCTCTAAATTCTCTCTAGTATTGGAAGAAAGCTAGAATGCTTTGGGATGATTTTAAAACTAAATGAGCTAGGGTATTTATAGTTGAAACTTAAGGATTAATTTATAAATACCTTAAATTATAATGACTAAAATTGATATTAGCCCTTTACCAAAAAAATCAACCATTGCTGCCACTTTTCTATCGCCTTTGAAAATTGCACCATTCGGTGCCTATCTTGTCTTGTGGAATTTTCAACAATCTCCCACTTGAAGATTTGATTGGAACAATCATATCTTCACACCATTCTTTCTATCTTGTATCTTCATGTTGTTTACGTCTCTGACAGGCCACAAGAAGATCGATATCAAGTAAATTTATCTGCGTTGATCGCCTTAGTCATGAAATCTGTTATGTTGTCTTTGGTATAGATCTTCTGCATATATACCGTTCCTTCTTTTAGCTTTTCACGAATGAAATGGTATTGAACTCGTATGTTCTTTGTCCTTGAATGAAATTATGGATTCCTTGCTAGATGCAAGGCGTTTTGACTGTTATAAAACAGAGAGACATACTCTTGATTGTATCCAAGCTCCTCCAATAGCATCTTCAATCAAATTGCTTCTTTACTGGCTTGTATAGCTGTTACATATTCTGCCTCTGTTGTGGATATAGCCACAACTGACTGCAATTTTGAAACCCAGCTTACAGCTCCACCAGCAATTTTGAACACATATCCTGTTGTAGATGTGCTTTTATCCAAATTCTCTGCATAGTCGGAATCTACATAACCATTGATTAGTAAGTTTGATCCTCCGTAGCATAATGCAACATTTGAAGTCCCTTTGTTGTATCTAAGGATCCTCTTTACTGCATTCCAATGCTCTTTGTCTGGATTCGTCATGTACCGACTAACCACTCCCACTGCTTGTGCAATGTGTAGTCTTGTGCATATCATAGCGAACATTAAACTTCCCACTGTTGATGCATACGGTACTCGAGACATATTCATCATCTCTTCTTCACTGTTAGGACTCATATTGGAGGATAATTTGAAGTTAATAGGAAGAGGGGTAGAAATTGGTTTACAATCTTGCATGCTGAATCGTGACAAGATCTTTTTCAAATAATTCTTTTGTGAAAGCCAAATCTTCCTATTACTTCTGTCTCGGTGAATTTGCATCCCTAGAATCTTGTTTACTGATCCCAAGTCCTTCATTTCAAATTCCCTAGCCAGTTGTGCCTTCAATTTTTCAATATGATCTTTGTTGGGTCCTGCAATCAACATGTCATCCACATACAACAACAATATAACAAAATCGTTATCACCAGAACTCTTGAAATAAGCACAAGGGTTTGCATTAAGTATGTTGTATCCAAGGCACATAATGAAAGAATCAAATCTCTTATACCAATACATCAGTGCCTGCTTTAGACCGTACAGAGATTTGTTCAACCTGCAAACCAAGTTCTTCTTTTATTTTTCTTCAAAACCTTCAAGCTGGAGCATGTAAATCTCTTCTTCAAGATTTCCATGAAGAAAAGTTGTTTTAACATTTAACTGCTCTAGATGTAAGTTCAATGTAGCACACATTTCCAAAACTACTCGAACTGTTGTTAGTCGAACCACAGGAGAAAATATTTCATTGAAATCAATACCTTCTTTTTTTAGCATATCCTTTGACCACCAGTCTTGCACTATACTTCTCCACTTGATCGTCACCATTTCGCTTAATTTTGAAAACTCATTTGTTACCAATTGGCTTCCTTCCTTGTGGTAGTGGTACAAGGTCTCATGTATTATTTTTATGAAGGCCTTCAATTTCTTCTTGTATCGTCATCATCCATAATGAAGCATATGGGTTGTTTATTGCTTCATGGTATGTTGATGGCTCACCATCCTCTGTTAAAAGACAGTATGCAATATTACCTTCTATAACATAATCTGAGTGTCAATTGAGACGTCTTCTCACACGATCTGATTGACGAGTTGTTGGAGCTTCAGAACTCTTTGGTTATTGTTCATCATGTGTTGGTTCTACTTCAGAAGAATCTCCTTGTTCAAACTCTTTTTCCACATGTATCTGAGTAGTCTCTGATTTTTCAGCGTTATCATCATCTTCTTTTCTTTGTAGTTTATCTTCTACAAAGACAACATCTCCGCTGATGATCACTTTGCGGGCAGTGAGATCCCACAAGCGATACCCCTTTACTCCATTAGCATACCCTAAGAATTTGCATTTCCTGGATTTTGGATCCAACTTTGAAATTTATTGGGAGTTGTACATCACGTACACAATACTTCCAAATACATGAAGGTTTGAATAATCAGCTGGTTTACCAGTTCATATCTCCATTGGTGTCTTCAGCTCTATTGCAGTTGATGGAGCTCGATTCACCAAATAACAGGCGGTATTGACTGCTTCTGCCCAGAATGATTTTTCTAGGCCTGCATCTCTCAACATTGCTCTTGTTCTTTCTAACAAGGTTCTGCTCATCCGCTCTGCCATTCCATTTTGTTGAGGAGTGTTTGTCACTGTGAATTATCTTTTGATGCATTCTTTCGTGCAAAAGTCATCAAATTCTTCGCTTGTGTATTCTCCTCCATTATCTGTTCTGAAACATTTGATCTTATTTCCAGAATCAAGTTCCACTCGCGCTTTGAAGTTTTTGAAAGTTGAAAACACATCTGACTTCTTCTTAATAGGGTACACCAAGCATATCCTAGAGTAGTCATCAATAAATGAGACAAAGTATTTTGCTCCGCCTAGGGATGTAATCGGTGCTTGCCATACGTCAGAGTGAACCAATTCTAGAACACTTTTGCCTCTAGAATTTGACGTGTTGAATTTCAACCGGTGTTGCTTACTTGTTATGCAATGCTCAAACAAGGTAAGTGATACATTTGTTAAGTCTGGAAGTAGCTTTTGCTCCACAAGGACTTTCATTCCTTGTTCTGACATGTGTCCAAGTTTTTGACACCATAGCATTGCCGAATCTGAACTACATGAGGCAACAGAGGCTTCTGCTTCTACCAAAGTCTCTCCGTTCAGCATGTACAAGTTTGCAGCTATCTTTTCACATTTGAGCACCACAAGCGCTCCACGGAACACCTTCATGATTCCTTTACGTGTTTCAATCTTTCTTGTATTATTATCCAACAATCCGTAGGATAATAAATTTTTCTTCAAGCCTTTCACGTGCCGCACATCTCGAACAACTTTAATTGTTTCATCATACATCTTTAATTTGATGGTTCCCACGCCAATGATCTCCAAAGCATGATCATTGCAACTATACACAGATCCTCCTGAGACAGGTTCATACTGATGGAACCATTCTCTTATTGAAGTCATGTGATATGTTGCTCCTGAATCAATGAGCCATATATTTGCAAATCTTTTTCTGTCTTCCACGGTGGTTGACGCTTCACAGCATAGATCATCTCCATCATCTAAAGTGTTTATAGTATTACCTTGTGGATTAGAGTTTTTATTTAAACTTCAGCAATCCTTCTTCAAGTGATCCTTCTTTCCACAGTGGTAGCACTTTAAATTCTTTTTGCTTCTAGACTTCGATCTACCATGTTTGTGACTACTGTTTTGGCCACGTTCTGTTGATCTCCCTCTCATCGTTGTCAATGATTCTGCTTGTTGTAGATTTACTTGTCTGTCTTCCTTGTTCTTGCGCCGATTTTCTTCTTGTAGAACAACAGCTGCAACGTCATCGAAAACTAGACTGGTGACATTACAGTTTGTCAAGTTGATGATGAGTTGATCATACGAATCCGGTAGACTTTGAAGTAGAAGTTCAACATTACAGCTTAAGGATGTAAGCTGAGAAAATAAAGTGTTCAATGTATTTAAGTGCTCCGTCACTGAAGTAGATTCTAGCATACGGAGAGTGTATAATTTTCTCTTAAGGAAAATTTTATTGTGCAACGATGTGACCTCGTACAGTTTGGTGAGATGATCTCATATCTCCTTAGCTGTCTTCTTCTCCTCGATGCTTGACAATACTTCATCTGCTAATGCTAGATGAAAGTTTGCCATAGCATTCCCGTCCATTTCGATCCATTTGTTGTCATCTGTGAAATCCACCAGTTTTTCACTGATAGCTGGTAGACAACCGTCTTTCATCAGGATGGCCTTCATCTTCAATTTCCACAATGATAAATTTCTCCCATTGAATTTTTCAATATCAAATTTCGTTGACATAGCTTCTTTTACGAATAACTCCCACTATTTCACTATCGTGAATAGTTCTCTGAAACCTTCAAAGAATGGGTAATAACTTCTTACTTTCTTATATTGGAGGATCCTCCTTTTGGTGGCAACCACAAAGACAATAAGCAGATATTATACACTCTAATCTGGCTCGGATACTAATTGTTGCGGAAGATGGTTATCGAATAGAGCAAAATCACAACTGATAATTTGAGAAAATAAAAATGAAGATAAAATAGACACAAAATTTACGTGGAAAACCCCTAAATAGTATATGGTAAAAACCACGGTCAACAGTAGAAGAATTCACTATGAGAAAATATGAATTACAACTTTTCTCGATCTACCAAGGAGAAAACAATGATAATTATCTCTTGATAAAAAAGAGAAAATAACTCTTAAGAAACTCTCTAAATTCTCTCTAGTATTGGAAGAAAGCTAGAATGATTTGGGATGATTTTGAAACTAAATGAACTAAGGTATTTATAGTTGAAGCTTAAGGACTAATTTGTAAATATCTTAAATTATAATGACTAAAATTGAGATTAGCCCTTTACCAAAAAATCAACAATGCTGCCACTTTTCCACCACCTTTGAAAGTTACACTATTCGGTGCCTACCTTCTCTTGTGAAATTTTCAACCGGACCTATTCCCGTGTTTCTCTTTAAAAACATAGAACGGGCAAAAACCGTAATCGGAACTGGTACACCCTTTATATTTAAGAAAGCCTTCAAGAGAACCTTCTGGTCGGTAATGGAGCATTTCATTCTTTTTCATTCTTGCTTTTATTTCATTTCAGCTGCCGTTAACTCGACCAAAATCGCCAAACCTTAGTCGGAGAAAGAGCTGCAGTGATGCAGTACACTCGTCTCTGGACGAAAAGGCAAAAGCATGCTGCCGAACTCATCGGCACAGCTTAGGTACCCATACGGAAAGATCCGCTCCAGCAAATGAGGTTAAAAGTAAGGGACATATCAGAGGACAGAGCAGTAACGAAGCTGACAAGGTGAAAGATCGAGCAAAACCAACGACGACGACGACAACAACAACGAAAGCTGTTCCGAGAATCACAAAGCAGAATAATGCAAACATTACTGTTGAGTCATGAAAATCTTTTCACTAGTACCATATGAGATTGCCATGAAATGAACATTGTTTTTTTCTTTTCAGTGGTTTGCATTGTTGTGAATTGTATATTGTATCTTAGGTTAATATATATATATATATATATATGGCATAGTTATTGAATGTCAAGATGGATTGTAATTATCTTTTTTTTATTACATGTTTCTTATTCTGCAATTTTCTCTGTTAAATACGTAATTGACAATCTTTCGATTCATTAGGAGATATCTTATCTACCCAAAAAAAAAACATTGCAAGGCAGGTGAAATTTCGAACTTGAAAAACAATTTCACTTCAGTTAGTTGCATAAGTAGCACAATCAACAACATCCTACCTTCTTGGATTTATGGGAATAACATTTAAACTCCCTATTATTTTACCGTTTATTTTTCTTATGGGTAAAGTACACAAATGGTCTCCCGATTATAGGGTATTATATTATTAAGTCCCTCAATTATAGGATTTTATTTTTCTGAGTCTCCTGACTATTAAAAGTTATAAATTAGTCACCCGACTATTCATATGTTCCAAACTCGTCCTTTTCTATTAAACAATTGTTGGTAGTTTGAGCTGGATGTTAACGTGCTAATTGTGATATGATAAAATGTTATCCGAAAATCTCAAAAAACTATCATATCTTAGTCAACAGGTTAACGTCCAACTTAGATTGTCATCAAATTTTTAACGAAAAAGGATGAGTTTGAAACATATGAATAATTAAGTGATCATTTTATAACTTTTAATAGTCAAATGACTCAACAAAACAATATTTTAAGGTCGATGGACTATTTCATAACTTATAATAATCAGAGACTCAACAGAGTAACACCTTATAATCGGTGATCATTTATATATTTACCTTTTTCTTATTTTGTTATATCCATAAAATACGACTGAAACACAACTACAACAGTAATTTAAATAAAAAAATTATGTTTACGACGAACCCTCCTAAAATTATAGTAAAAAACCCTAAATGACAGTTACAAATGAATGGTGGAATAACAAACTAAAATCCCTTCTTCCACCATTAAAGCTCTCTCAATAGCTTACCATGGTGGTTGATCTACTGTTGAATTTCTTCAAACAGAAAAGCGCAATCTTAACCTAAAATCCAAACACCTATAAATTCACCATATAAACATCCATATTCCAACATTGCCCCACTCTTCATCCTGCGTCCATCACTTCTGTTCTCCATCCGCCGTTGCTTTACGTTTCCGCCCGTGCCGCCTATATCCATTGCGGTTTTCTTATTTCAAAATAAATGGCGAAGAAAGGAGAGGCGAGAAGAAGGAAACCGATAACGCCTTCTTCATCTTCATCGTCGACGACAACAACATCATGTGACTCCGAAACAGAAGACTTGCGACACACGCCACCAAAGCCTTTGCTCTTGACGAAGAGCAAGGGGGGTTACTTGTCGAAGCAATTATCGAACTGTGAGACGTCGAGGGACATCGCATGGGAGAGGCGACGCCAGCAGATTTTGAGGCAAGAGAGGGGGAGAAATGGGATTTTCGTAGCGAACAATAATGGATTAACCGACGAAGATTTGTGTGAACTTAGAGGGTGTATTGAGCTAGGGTTCAGATTCGACGAAGAACAAGGGCAAAAACTATGCAATACATTGCCTGCTTTAGACCTTTATTTCGCCGTAAATCGTCAAATCTCGTCGAGTCCGATTTCAAGCTCTCATCCGCCGTTGGTGTCGTCGTTACCTTCTTTTGAGAGTGAGCTAGCATGGAAAATTTGCAAGCCAGGTAAATATAGATAATATAATCCTATACAAGTACATGAATATATAGAATCCTATGCTTATATACATTAAAAACTCCAAGATTTCTTTTGAATGTATTTGTTTCGAATATATATATTCATATCTAATATTTACATTTGAATTATCATAACTTTTTATATATATAACTGATATTTTAACGATTCGACTGTTGAATTTAACGATATATATTTTTTGTACGTATACGGATTGATAGTACACTAATTTTGTTTACATTACTCGAATTCTTTCTCTTTTCAGGAGAAAATCCTCAAGTAGTGAAGACTAAGCTAAAGCATTGGGCACAAGCTGTGGCATGTGTTGTGAAGCAGTCATATTGAAGTGTGGGATGCAAAGAAGAAGAAAAAAACAAGATTAAGTCATAGAAAGAGAGGTTATCCTCACTATAAAGGAAGATGATGACAACGTTTCGGGTTTGGGGAAATTCAGGTAGAAAATACTTGTAGTTCAAAAATGATAGAAAAGATTGTAAATGTTAAAGATTTAGATTCGAACTAGAATGTTTAAACATAATCAGATAAATCAAAATATAAAAATAATTTATTTTTGTTTCTTTTGATGTTTAATTTTTTTTATTGTTTTCAGTAAACCAACTAAACAAATGAAGTTAAGCCTAACACTAATTCATGTACCATTTCAATTTAATCACATAAATAAATATATAATTCATGATTAAATAAATAAATAATTTAATTCATGTATCAGCATAATACTAAGGTACTTGGGAAGAATGCTTAATATTTTAATATGATTAAGGATTCGAGCACTTAATAAACTTGAGGGCTAAGGCTGTCTAGTTCTTATTGGATCACGGTCTAAAGTACCGGGTTTTATGATTTTTTTAATATATAGTATTCGATTTATTCATCGAATAATTTGAACCGGGTGCTGTAGAGATTCACTATGATAATAACACTTCTAATCCACCTTGTTCCGTTCATAACGTTAATATTTGAATCTCTATGAGAATAACACTTCTAATCCACCTTGTTCCATTCAAAACGTTAAGGTTTGAATCTCCGATCTTACTTAAAAAAATCTATCGTCTCATCCTGCTAGACCAATTAGTAATTTTGATATTAAGTTTTATGATAGTATTAATTAATTAATTCAAACTCTAAGACAATGTTAAAAAAAATAAATTATTAGCTGACTTACTTACATTATACATCTTTAAATTATGGTCTTCAATTTTAAATTGTTCCCTAAACTTTTTAAACATTTCAATTTTATCCTTAAATTACGAATCACATTCTAAATTGACGTCTAAAATTTTGAAAATTTCAAATTCATCCATAAACTATATATTCATTCTAAATTGGTCTCAAACTTTGAACATTTCAAAAACATCCTCTTAAATCATTCAAAAGTTCAAAAATAAAAAATAGAACATTTAAAAGTTTGAGAACCAGTATAGAGAATAAGAGTTATAATTTGAGGATGAATTTAAAATGTCAAAATATTTAGGAACTATTTTAGAATGAGAGTTGTAATTTTTGGATGGAATTAAAATATTCAAAACTAATTTAAAATGAAAATTATAATTTAAAAGAGAAAATAACCTCTGTGACCAAAAATACCTTATAATATATGAATTTAACCAACTTTTTTTGGATTTGCCAAAATGACCAACAAATTCGCAACGCGAATTCCAATTTCGCAACTCAGTTTCCAATTTCGCAACGCGAATATGTAAATCGCATTGCGAATTTTGTAAATCGCAACACAGAAGTCAAATTCGCAACGCGAAAGTCAAATGTTTTTACGCGAAACACAATATTAATTTCGCAACACAAATGTAAACGATATTATCGCAAATCATCTCTAACCTAAAACCCTAAAGCACAACTCAGTCCCATCTCCATCTCTCACTCTCTACGACGACATCCGTCCCCATTTTTGACAAAATTCGTCCCCATTTCCGACGAAATCCGTCTATCTCCATCTCTCAGAGCAACCCTCACAACCATTCACGGTCAGAAATGGAAAATCAACCATCGAGGGTTAGTTTTTTTAATCTCTTATTTTTGTTTTGAAATTTTTGTATTATTATTAGATTAACCATTTCACTGAGATTGCTAAATTCATTCGGTTGCTGCCAATACTGCTAAATTGTTTAGTCTTTAACCCTGTGAAGTTAGTATTTGTCTTTGTTTTGTCTTTTTGTTGAATAAACCCTAAATCGCAACACCAAATTCACAACACGAAAATCGCAACGCGATTGCGAAAATGAAAATCGCAACGCGAAACTAAAATCACTTTGCGATTTTCATTTTCGCATTGCGAATTTAAGTTTCAGAAACTTCTTTTATTCTGCAAATTAAAACTTGAATGAATTGCATTACTTCAACCTAAAAACAAAGACAAATACTAACTTCACAGTGTTGCTAATTTAAGTTTCAAGAATAAACTACTACTCTTTATGTTGTCCTTGAACCTGCACTAAACCTATATGTTGTCCTTTTAAATGTTTATATAAGTGCTTACTTCTGGAATATTATCTAATGCATTTTGTGAACTATGATGGAATAATGACTTGGGTGAATACCGTGCTAGTTTGAAACATATTTGGCTTTGTTTTCACTGTTTAATATCATGTCTGTTTAAAGTGTATAATTTGTAGTTTTTTGTATATCTAACTTGGTATGTTTATTGCTTTTGTAGAAATTCTTTTCGGCTACATTGACCTTAAGGAATAAATTAAGCCTAGCCACTAAAATTGCGTCGACGCTTACACCTCTACAGAGAAAATTGTTTGAGGATACTTGCTTCGGGCTATGGCTGAAAGTGCAACATACGGGTGGAGATGCTATGTTGACACATTTGTTTCTTCAGACCATGACTAACGATCTACCCGAGGGGGTACAACATGGTGATGAGGAGATATGGTTTCATTTTCCTCCGGCACCGACGTATACTTGTTTTGGGCGGGAGGAGTTTTGCTTAATCACCGGTCTACGCTTCGGACACGATGATGTAGGTCGGTACACTAGTCATGTCGCCCGCCCATCATGGTTATATCGGGTTTTTCCTGAGCTGGCAAAGTCGAAGCCGAGTATACACGTCGATGACTTTAAGAGATTATTTGATAAAGATGGTTTTACTCGGATGGATGACCTTGATGTTGTCCGAGTATTCCATTTATTACTTTTGCATGCCGACTTTTTAGGCAAAGAGGGCATACAACCAATCTCCGAGGACCTAATATTATTGGTAGAGGACCTAAATGTATGGAACATGTTTCCGTGGGGTTCATATCTATGGAAAGCTACCTGGAAGAAGTTGTTGTCTGCCTTTGAGGACCGAAAAAGTTTGCGGGGCGATGGTTCTAAATACACTTTGACAGGCTTTACTTGGGCCTTTAAGGTAAGAATTTCTATATAATGTTTCCAAAATTATAATTAATTATTTAACAATTACTAATGTTTGTGTATTATATTGTTTTGTATATTTGGATATTTAAGGCTTTCCCCAGCATGCAGACATATGCGATAAAAAGATAAAATGATATTCCTAGGGCTATTACCTGGAAGAGGATCCGCATGTTGGATTGGGAAGATTTACTCCCATATACGACGATGAATTATGTAAGTTAACAGACAAATAATACCATATATAAACAAGTTATTACTAGTACAAGTTTAACTTTGTTTGAGCTTTTATATTGTTATGAGGCCAACTATCCATTACAGAGGCTGAGCTTGCCACTGATTGGTGGCAAGCTAGTAAGCGGTTTTTTGATGGGACGGATGATGAGCACCCCCCCACTTCGAGAGCCATCACCTGATCGGGCTGATTCTACAGCTCGACACCCGGAGCCATCACCTGATCGAGCCTCTTCTCCACCATCACCTCATGATAGGTGACCGACAAAGAGGCCACGACATTTATCTCCCTGTTCTCCACCTCCACAAGATGAGTTAGGGGAATTACGTGATGAGGTCGGTGCTTTGCGTCATGAGGTTGGTACTTTACGTGAAGATAATGGTGCATGGCGTGATGAGGTTTGATCTTTATGTGGTGAAGTGGATTTTTTACGCGATGACAATGGTGCTGCGTGGTGAGGTATCTACTTTACGTGATGAGGTTGCCTCTCTACGCAAGATTGTTTCATCGTTGCAGAATGAGGTTCATACTCTACGCAATGAGGTAAATTTGTTTAATATTATACTAAAAATGCAAATAACTTTTTTCGGCATTATTTATTTACTGATTTATGTATTAATTTATTTTCAGCAGCCCGATAAGGTAGATGTTTTACGTCGGGTTTTTCTTGCACGACGGGGTTCACGCATCAGACGTCGTGCACATGCCATTACGTCTCCGTTCATCCACTAGTGCCAAGACTCCGTAAGAAGAAGCCCGATGCACCTATCATTATTCAAGAGGCGCCTCCTATCCTTCAAGAGGCCCCTGTCATCATCGAAGAAGCCCTTCCCGCCGTTCAAGAGGCCCCATCATCGTTCAAGAGGTCCCGCCAGCCGTTCAAGAGCCTGATTCATATGGCGTCATATATCGACATATTGATAAACCCCCTATCGTGCCCGATATGATGGATGCGAGTTGGCTTTCGTATGTGTTACCGTCCAGTACCATTCCTCAGCAGGAGAGGGAAACACTACCGGACACAATTACGGATAATACCCTTTGGGCTAAGACCGCAGTTGATTTTTATCTACATGAGCGGAGCAACGAGTGTTATTCTGACCTATGCCAAATCGACGATGCTATTCATTTGTTTCTTGATCGGTCTTGGTAGGGTGTTTTATTAGGTGTTGAAGATAATGGCTATCTCGAAGGGGTGGTAAGTATTATATTCTTCTTATATTGCATTTTGATTATTTTTTTAAAAATTATTAATAAATTCCTAATATATTTATTTTTTTATAAAATAGCATATTGATGCATTGGTGTCACGTCTTCTAATAATAAGGAAATTGAAGAAAAGAGGTACTCGATGGACTATTATGCCGACGTCTTTTCACGCAGCTCACTTGAAGGATTAGAGAGATGCTTCATATAAGTTGACTAATGGAAAAGTTAAACTTTATCTTGCGTGGTGGGAGGTCGATAAGGTTAGTATTTATTTTTTTTGAATATTTTAAAGGTTTTCTTAAATTTTATTTGATGTGCACAATTATTTATGATTGCAGGTATTTATCCCTATTTTGGAACATCGTCATTGGCTTCTCGTCGAGCTTCAGCTCCCATCCCTGAAGACAATGGTATATGACAACATGTTGAATTACATACCATTGTCTGATTTGAGAGATATTATTACAAAGGGATAGAGCGATCATTTGGCTAAATACTTGAATGC